GAGAGGCGTTCGGGGGACTCCCACATCGGCTGACCTCCGTGCTCGGGCCATGATTTCCAAGCGGGGGCGGTTCAGCTCCCCAAAGCTCTGGCTCCCGTCTGCAGCCGCGGATCCCCAAGAAGGCTGCTCGGAACGGCGCCCGGCCGTCCAGCGCATTAACCGGAGGTCTGCGCTCCTGCTCCTCCTGCTGCTCCTGGGCCAGCCTCACCTGGCTCTGCGTCCACGCAGCTGGAGAAGCAGCCCCACCGGCAGCACTTCTTCCCCTTCCCGCACTTGGCATCGGTGGTGCAGTTTGTGGCGCACGTCCTCGTGCCCAGGGGCTTGGCCTTGGGGCAGTAGCCGGGGTTCACTGGGAAAGAGAGGAGGAGCTGGGGCCAGCGCGCCAGGGAGCCAGAAATTGCGCCCCAGAGCGAGGAGCGAGGAGAGCCGACGCGAAGCGCAGCCTCCCTTCCCGGTTCTGCCCGTGGGTGCGGGCGCGTGGCTGTGCCTGTACCGTCCATGTCTATATGCCCTTTTCCCCAAGCCTGTTCGCTTCTTGCAGTTCTAAGTCTCCCCAGAGCTTAGCGTTTTTGGAAGCTGCTGGCGTGTCTTTATGCGCATATAAGCAGAGCCCCGCGCATGGCTCCCCCTGCTCCCGGGGTCGCTACCGCGAGGGGAGAGAGGAGGACGGTGACGCCGGGCTGGACCCGAGGAGCTGAGCCAGGAGGGAGCTGTTCCTGGGGTGGGGGGAGGAGGGGGCGCGACCGCAGAAGGCCCGTTGCCATCCACAGGGAGCAGACACTCCTGGTGGCAGCCATATTTACAGCACAGCTCGCTCCCCGGGCACTTGGCGCTGCTGGAACACGTGGAGCCGCATGGCAGGACTTGGCCCCTCGCTCTGGGGGGGCATTTGGGGACTGGAAAAGAGAGAGACACCCGCCTGGAAAGACCTCCCTGCTGGCAGGGTCCTTCTGCCCCAAGCCAGACAGCAGACCCGGGGCGACGGGGAGGCAGGGGCAACCTACCTGGAGGCCTTGGCACAGTCACTCTTTGCTCCTCCGAGGAAGAGGACGACGATGACGACGACGACTCTGAAACTGACTCTGAAACTGAAGCGGAAAGCAGTGCGTCAGCCCAAAGGCTGCCCGGGAGAAAGTGGCTGGCGAGGAGTTGAATCGGAGGGTCGGCGGAGCCCCCGGGGGGCAGGAATGGGACTGCACCACTCCGCCCGGCCGGGGCGGGGCGGGGGGGGGCCTGCTCCATCCCCATCAAGACCCGGATGGGGTGGTCAGAAGCCTCCAGCAAACGTCTAAGCAAGGGGTGTGAGTAGCAGCCCCCCAATCCCTGGTCCTCAGCTGCCAGTATTTACAGGTAGCCTGCTTTTGAACATGGAGCCTCCAATGAGCCATCATGTCTACGGTTGTCGAGAGACGGGGCTCTGAGGAAATGCAGCAAAGCTCCCGGAGTCCTCTGCCAAGGAGAGGTGCGTTTGGGTCCGCGGGAAGTCTGGAAGGCAGCGTGGGCGTCACTTACCCTGGGGCCTCTGGGCTGACGCCGGCAGCGCCCAGAGCCAGGCAGCCAAGAGGCTCACCAGCAGCCCCGTGGTGCTCGGCCTCATCTCTGGGCACCCTGGCATCTGCCGGGCCGCTCCGCCAGTTTGCTTTATAGCTGGCATGCGAAGGAGGGGAGGGAGGGAGGGGAAGGGAAGGGAAGGGGAAGAGCAGCCTGGCGGCTGGAAGCACAGCAGTCAGCTGCTGGAGGTTGGAGGGTGTGAGGTGCGTGCGTGCATGTGTGTGTTTCGATTTCCCCGGCTCTGGGGGGTGCACCTAGACATGCACGCACACGTGCACACGGCTGGGTATTGGCGATGTGGGGGGGCTGTCGGAGGGGACCAGTGGGAGGAAGTCAGGTCAGAGCACAAACCAGCTTCCTCCCAGGGACCTTTCCTTGAAACCTGCCTCTGTTGGGGAGCGTGTGGGAGGAGGGGATGATGGGTGGCCCCTGCGCTTCTGAGCTTCCTCTTTTGGAAAGGAGGCCACGCTTCTCATGGCGGGGGGGGGGGGGGGAGGGCTGCCTCTTGCCAGATCAGCAGATGGCATCACACTTCAAGTAGCCCCTTTTGTGGACCCAGGAGAAGGAAGCCTTGTCTAGTGACCCCTGAAAAGTCAACAGCAGAGTCGGGATGGCCCCCTATATTTGGGAGTCTCATCAAGAGAAGGAGGGGAGACGCCAGAGACACGCTGGAAGTTCCTGGGGTTGGTCTGGACATCCTGCAGGATCCCTCCAGCTCAGAGATCCTCGGCTGGTCTCTGCGCACCGACCCAGCGTTGGGCTTGCTCAGCATTCGGGCCAAAGGCCTGCCGCCCTCCTGAGCCTGAGGCTCAACCATCCTGCCCTGTTGGATGAGACTGAAATAACCCTGGGCTGGCCTGCGAAGGGGGTCCCCCCCACCTCATTGGAATATACATACGTCTGGGCTGGGGGAAAGGCCCCCCATGGCGGAGAGGCTGCACTGGAGCTTTGCAGATGCGCATCGCTGAATTGCAACCACCTGCTGAAAACCTGAGCAGGGTCTGCTGAGGGGCTGAAGTTGTGGGTGTCCTGCTTTCTCCCACTTTTATGTAGGTATAAATCAAGCGTTTCAAGACAAATGTCATAAACGTTTAGTCTCAAATTCCAAGGAAGCCCAAATTCACAGCAATCCACGGTGCACAGCCACCCCTGGAGTTCCCCTTGCTCAAAGATTGTGTGTGTGTGTGTATATATGTGCGCACGCGCATGAAAATGGGCCAAACTGGCTGAAAAGCAGAGCCAATCTTGCAGACCTTTAATCTGCCCAGCCCGCACCTGCACCCCGGGCCAGCTCCAGAGTTAAAACAAAATGGCTGGTGTCGCCATCAAAATCCATGGAGCACGTCATCCAAAGGCCAGAGAAAAACAGCCTTGTGGAAAGTTCCAAGATCTCTCAGGAACAATGGATCGCGTCACTCCCCTCCTTCCTTGCCCAGAACAATCAGGTTGCAAAAACTGTTTGTCACTAGCTGGGCACACAGCACCCTGCGTCATTTCTACCTGTCCCCTCTCTCTGAAAATGCAGCCCTGACCCCAGTCTTGAAAAGAGCCGTAACCCTCTTAGCAGAACAATCGGCTCCCCGAGACAAGATCTCTGGCTCTGCGGCAGTGTCCGGCCGAGCGGCCTTGGAAACCGGATGCTGGAGACGGAGGAAGCGGATCTGGGACCGCACCGTCTCCACCGACGTCTGCTCTGGCACGCGCGCACCGAAGCAGCAAATTGCTGAGCGTGAAACGTTCAGAATTCAGAAAGATGATTTCCAGGGAACAAAACAGCCCATATTCTGGAATCATCTTGGGACAAAATGCGGTGTTTCCTTTGGCATTTCTTTCATCTGGAAGAAACCTGAAACGAGCGGTTGTTCCTCCCTTTTATTCTTTCCAACCCAACAGAATTTTGGAAAGAAATGACGCCAAATGTTGTACGCCGCCCAGAGTCACTTTGTGGGAGATGGGCAGCTATCTAAATGTGGTGTATGAATGAATGAATGAATGAATGAATGAATGAATGAATGAATGGTGCAGGGTGCTGTATCTCTGTCCAGCATCAGGAAAACCCTTTGAACAGAACTGGACCAGAACCGGTGTGAGGGGAGAACCCAGCAACAGAGAGACCAGTCTGAAAAACAGGCCCAGCCAGGGGCTGCAGAGAGAACAGGTCCAGACAGGCTCTTCCAGGGCAGCCCTATGGGGGGTCTGCAGTGGGGCAGCAGCTGGCCAACCCATTCTAAGCCCTCCTCCCCCCAGCCGCATGACCCAGACCCCTGCTGTTCTTACAATGGGGGGGGGAGCACCCCAGCATTTGCGCCTGCAGGCTTCCCCCGTTGTGTTTGTTCCAGGGCCACAGCAGGAGTGGGTGTTATTTTTTAAAATTTATTTTATTTATCTTTCAAATTGATATACGTCTCCCATCTCATTCTACAAGTGACTCTAGGCGGCAATACAGGTAAAAATATTATAAAAATAATTTTAATAATAAAAAAATATTAAAAGTGATAAAAAGTGATAAAAAGCTTATAGCAAAGATTGGAAGGAACGGCGAAGGAACTAAAAGCACTTTTTATACAATATTTCATTTTTCAAAATGAAATCTCCTTGGTCAGTTTTTCAGTATGTTGGGAGGCACCCTAAGCCTAACCCTTGGCGTGCACTCTCACCACGCCTGCCTTTGGGGCCCTGAGATGAAAAAAGAGGGCGCGAGGGCCTCGTTTGGGTCCCCTCATTCCCTCCAGTGGATACCCTGAAGTGGGACAACCGCATTCCGAGCTCAGAGCGAAAGTTCTAGGTCCCTCCCGGCCGGTTTCGGGTCTCGTCAGAAAAATGCCCGCTTCCGGTCAGAGGGCCAGGTGGCCGGAGGGAGGGGCAGCAAGGAGTCTTTTGTTTATGGCATGCACAGTAATAAGGACCGCTGGGCTTCTGGCCAG